TAAAAACTAGTTCATAACTGGTGCAAAAGTGTTGCTCTGGAATGTTTCCGCCATGTTTGCTGTTTCATTTGTGTCTGAGTGTAACTAAGCCAAGCATCTCGACCTCGCCAGCCTCGAGCTGCGCCATATATGTAGTGTCATTTACACACACACCCACAAATGCACGGCCTGACACCTGACAGCCACTCAACAACGAGTGGCTGTCGGATTTAAAAAAGTGAGAAAAAAAAAGAACGAAATAATAATAAAAAGCGACAGCGAAAAAAAAAGCAAAGAGTAGCAAACAGCATGCATGCAAAAATGAAAGGACCAAAAAATAAAAGAAGAGAATAACGGCGCGGTGTTGACATGCACTGGCTTTGGCAAGGGGTGGGGAGACTAAGGAGGCAAATGACAGGACACTTTTGGATGTGTCAGTTATGTGACAGGCACACACTGAGACACTCGAGGCACGAGGCCGCGCTGCGTCTTGGCGACTTTTTTCGGATGCCGCAAAACTTGAAAGAATTCAAGGTGAGGCGCACTTTGTATCCAAAGGCAAAAGTAAAGTCAAAGTTCAAAAGACGGGCCATAAGTTGGACAACAATAAACAAGGGACTTAGGGATTGGGGGACAGCTGCTGTGTCGACCCGTTCAGAGCACAAATATGCAAAGTCAAGTGGCAATTTATCATGCAATGCAACAACAACAGGGGCGACGGGGTGTACAGCAGGGTGCTGTGTGGGGTTAAGTGGTGCCTAGTGCGAGCACAACTAAATTAAATGGCCAATGGACAGCTGGAGACCGGCAACCGGCGAGCAGAGCGATGCGTGGGCATGAATGAATCCAGACACCTACGCCTAGGCACATACAATTGCGATTCTTGTCGGTAATAAATGTGTGTATATACACCCTACATTGGATTAACAACAAGGATTGATAAGTTTAGTGAAAGGGTTGGTCGTTTGAGCAGTGACCAGGTTTGATGTATCGATAGAATGCACGTCTCTCAAGCTAGAGATGTCAACATGTCGATAATACTATCGATAATATCGCTGTTTTTTGTTTTTTCTGTGGTCACCAGTAATGGCAGTTTTATTTTAAATTTTTCTACAATCGAAAATACAGAATTCACGTTTTTCAATAAAACCGAGATACTTTTTTGTAACTAGTGAATTTCGGGCTTAACAGATTTGGTTGAAGGTTTGTCTGTTAAAATGGATCATGCAAACTTTTGTTTTGTTTAGAGTTAAGCCTTTTATTATACATTTGCGGAAAAAGAGCAGATAGCTTAATAAAGTAAACATACATTTGAACAGGGTACATTCAAGTTGAATATCTGAAATGGCCGCGTTATTTACTTTATTTTTTTTCTTCTTTTTTTTGTTATATTATGTGAGCCCTCGATTACGCTCCCGTTAGTTAAATCGATGCGACGCTGACCTTTCCCTCAATTAGAGGCACATGCACAGAGCACAGTGCTGGGCGACAGTAATGGGCCCAGCTGTGCGACCGAGTATGCTGCTGTCGACGCTTTGGCTCATTAAGTAACTGGCAGCAGCCACGTCTTTAATTTATCAGCTGCATCTAATTTCTGTGATTTGCAGCACAAATATGTTGAATAGAGTGTCAGCTGCTGAGCAGTAGAAGCTGACCAGGAGTGGAGGCAATCCACAGGCAACTTGATCGCCGAGCTAATGGACAAAACCAATGCTAAGTGCGGCCACAAAAGCCAAGCAATTAACAAGGCGTTCGGTTTAGGAGCTTAGTCATTGGCCAGTTGTCCGGTTGCAGCGCGACGGTCACTTGACAATCCTGGCGATGCGAAAACCCAGTATAACCACAGACGACAGGGCAGAGCAGGCCGGACAGGGCAGGGCAGGCTGACCGGAAGTGCGCGCTGCTGCTTCTGAAGCTGTTGTTGACAAGGCTCTAAAGCAGCGACTGCAACTCGGACTAACCAAAGACACTCGCAGTCGTCAGCAAGCGACCACAACGCAACTAGGCCAGGGCACGGGGGCGGAGAGGGCCGAGATGGGAGTAATATGCGTAATTAAACAAAACCGCAAGTGGGGCAGTTGCACAACATGGGAAGCCTCGCGCTGCAGAGTTTAAAATAATAAAAAAGGACACCACAAGCGACACAGCAAACACAAGAGTACAAGAAGCGGAAAGGCACATTTTGTAGGCACTGTCAAGACGCATCGTATATACCCTTGGAGAGCCACATTTATACATAGTATTAATATAAGCAATATATTTATAAGTTGCATTAACTGATAAGCAAATCCATTATCAATATTTAGCGTATATTCGAAAGCTTAATATATTTCCTTGAAATATTTTTCAAATATACATATATGGTTCAGTACAGGCTTATAGCTCCGCTGTTCTTTGCCGTATTAATCCGGTTTAAATTTAAATTCATTCTAAATAAAAGAACGGAATTTAAACCGGTTTGTTGTGAACCCGGTTAGTTAGTATATTACTTTCGCGATACTAAAAATTCAGTTCGCGAACTGGTTCATAAATTCTTAAGCTCGTATAGTTTCTTAAGTTGCAAAACTATTTTAATAAAGAGACTTAAAGTGACAGGAAAGGAGAATAAAAATTAATGTACGAATTCTTAAAACACATTCAATAAATCCATCCAAATTTAAATGAAATGAGAGATACGTTCCAGATTCACTTTTGACAGCAAAAACTGGAAATGTTCCATTTAAGAGAATATTCTATCTATTTAGCATGGATGGGCTATCATTAGCATATTTCTTGGGCTACAAAGCGCATGATATAGTTATAATACCCAGCGTGTGAACTGAGACGTTTAAATTAAATATTTGCTGGCCAGCGTTGGTTGCCGGAGTGTCAAGAAGTAAAGCAAAGAGTTAAAACGCAGCGCCACATTAATCTGGAGCATGCAAATTGAAGTGTCTCTGGTCTCTGGATCTGTCTGTGACGACAAGTGTCGGCAGGCTATGAAAAAAAAACAAAACAACAAAAAAAAACCTGAAACGAAAGGCTTAATCCCGGCTCTGGTGCATTTTCTGCAGCAAACGTTTGAGATGACATCGAGAGATTCAGAGAGAGCTGTTGAGATATAGTTCAGGGCTCAAACGTCTACTCGATTACGTATTAAGTTGGTTTCGTCACCGTCCATTGATTTCACCTGTAAACAGAATATACAACAATGTGCCATCGATTTTATATTAGCCACGAAACACTTGAGCCAGAAAGTCCAAATACCCAAAGAGAAATATATTGATATATATGAACGTAAGAACGGCAAGCACAAGAGATAAACAACAAAATGAATAGTGGAAAAATATATATATGCGCCCAACAAAGAAAGGTACAAACAGTTGTCCGTGAGACTGAGAACTAAAAAAGCGTACCCCAATCCAGAACCCAGACATTCAGAATGTTAACCCAGTTAGCTTGCAAAAGCTGCATGCACTCTCAAAAGATTTGAATTCCAAAGTAGCAAAAAATAATATTTTTTAATTCAAGTCCAGAATAATATTTGTGTGTATGCAAATACTTCCTTTTTAACAGGGAGTGCGAGATATTAAAGCTTTTCGCGAATTAATAACACATTGAAGTAGTAGAAAGGCGAATGTAGATATACATATGTGCGTATACTTATTTTACATGTGTACTTTATTCTTATACAAATAGTCATGCCTAGTTAATTGGTACTGTTAAACATTAGCAAGTATCTACTGTATTTGGCAAAGGTAGCCAGAAACTCAATTACCTGTTAAAACAGCCAAATTTAGAATAAATCCAATTAGCGGCATCGCGTTTCACCGCTTGCTTCTTTTCGAATACCAAAAACTTGAATTGTTATATGCTGAACTTCTGCTTCAATTGGCCAAAAATTGTTGCATTTACTAACACTTTGCTTTGGATTAGTTCACGGTTACGCTTGTTGTTCTTGCTTATTGTGAACGCGCCGATCCGGAGCTATAAAACCAAAACGACACGAGCACTCACGACGCGCTTGCAGAGAGTGTGCGAAAGAGAGAGGGAGATGAGGAGAGACTTCCGAGAGCCGTAGTCAGAGCTTGGAGCTTACACGAAGTGTAAGCCAACCAACGCGCACGAATTTCACTTTATCACTGAATTTGATTTTTTTTTCAAATTTCTTCGCTCGCGTACTGAGCGTCGCACGAACGTTGCGCTGCCGGCATTGCGCATGACTATCGCAACATTTTGCCGATTTCATATGTTGCCTGCAACATGCACGAAGAACTTGTAAACAATTATTAAAAGGCAATTATGTTAAAAAATAGTTGTCACGTCACAAAACATATTTTTTAATTAAGTACACTTATTAAACGGCCTGTAAAAAGTTTCTTTAAATGAATGCTTTACAATGTAAAAAAAACTTAAATGATTTAAAATTTTGGGCAACTTATAAATTTGATCAATTTTAACTTTAAAAGATGCGCGCAATATTCAACTATCTAACAACATGTTGACAAGAGAGGGGTAATACAGGGCACATGTTGCTGCAACTTAAGTCAAAGCTAGGGGTATAAGTTCGAAGACCAGCGCAGCTTTTTACTTCAGTTGGGGTAGTCCCTTCAGCTTTCAAATGTATAACAATTTTAGCCATAATTATAACAGTTTGTATAGCAAAATGGCACGCTATTCACCTCACATGCTATAAAAACCCAAGTAATGGGTCGGCACTTGGTATTTTACAAAGCTTAATCTGTTATAATTTGTATAGGAATTCCTGTATAATTTTAATATGTTAGTTTGGAACCAACCCAAAGCTTACAAACATAGATTAACCGTTTAAGTAACCGATAGCGATAAACTAGCGAAAGCTAAGACGTCTTAATTATACAACAGCTATTTTCGGATTGTCAGATGAAATAACTTTTAATATTTTTAATGGCAGATAGAGAATAATTTGTTGATCTTGGATATGTGAATGTCTTTCTAAGCTTTTATAAAAATATTTAATTTATTTTAAAAACAAAAAACACATTTAGTGGGTATTCTAACTTCATATCGTATACAAGCTCGATATCGCAAGACGACACTTTCAATACTATCGATAACTTTGTTTTTTAAAAAGCGCGGGAAAAAATAGATGGCAGCACTTGCAGCCCACATATTTTTATCAGTTACGTGACGCATGACTTCTAACTAAATAGTTGAGCACCCGCAACTCCGATAATAATCGTCTTAAGCATACCCAAGGAAATTTGTTTAATATTATAGAAAAAATAATAATTGGACAATGGATGCTGATAATGGCAAATCATGCTCAAAAGCTAATGCCGAGCAGGGCGCAACTTCAAATGTTCCTAATGACTGTCTCGACGGACCCGGTTGGTCTCTAAATTGCTTTCAAACGGAAAAGAGAATCAAAGCCCAAATGGTTACTCACCGCTATGCCGAGGAGTATAAAATGTGTCATAAGCACCGTGGCCTGGCGCTGATCTTTAGCCATAAGCTATTCAATGAGAGAGGCTTGGCATCAAGGCCCGAAACGAGTGTGGACACCAAAAATCTAGAACGTGTGCTCGAACATTTGGATTTTAATGTAACGATTTACAAAGATTTGAATTACAAGGAAATTATGAAAAAGATAGCCAGTGCTGTTGCACTAAACCATAGGGAAAACGATTGTATCCTGGTGGCTCTACTAACGCATGGCAATAATGACGTGGTCTATGCCAAGGACAAGTATTACAAGCTGGAAGAAATCTGGGAAGCTTTTAGTGCGGACAAATGCCCCTCGCTGGCGGGCAAGCCAAAGATATTTATCATTCAGGCCTGTCGAGGCAAACGCAAGGATCCCGGCTATATCCGGCAGTCTGTGGGACACACCGAAACTGACGGTGATTCTAGTAGCAACTATAAGATTCCCAGCTATGCCGATTTCTTGATTGCGTTCTGCACAGTACCTCAATATTGTTCTTGGAGTGACTCTGTGAAGGGCAGCTGGTTTATACACAGTCTCTGCGACGAACTGGAGGCCAATGGCAGGAGGCTGGACATGCTCAACCTGCTCACATTCGTTGCCCAGCGCGTGGCCAACTGCGAGTCCTATGACGAGCAGCAAAAGCAAATCACCTGCACCATGTCTACTCTAACGCGAATTTTGCGTTTTGGGGACAGTCCTTAAAATAAAAACAAGAAGGGACATCCCTGCCTTCTCTAAACGTTTTTAGTTATCAAATCGAACTAACTCAAAAATTATTTAAAAAAATTTACTTTCACAATATAAACAATTAATCAACTAGCGATGAGCTAAACTGGCGTGATTGTGATTATGTCACTGTGATTAAAGAAACGCCGCAAAACATGTTTCTAACACACAAAAATAATTATTCTATTTTACTTGAAAAAATAAATGTAATACTCACCCAAATCCTAAAATGTGGATATATTTTGAATTTATCGCAATCTCGATATATTGTCAGTTTTCAGATATCGATAGTTCCTCACGATAGCCACATCTCTTGCTAATTTAATATTATTGAGAACTTTCACACGCAACGTCGGCAACCAACAAGTGGAATCTATAAGAAGTCTAGAAGCCGGCAACAATGTATTTTTATAAGATAATTGGAGCTATTTATCTATTGATTATTGCTGTCTGCTGCGCTAGCATAGAACGCGTTGATGACTCGGACCTGATTCACATCCTAACTGGCGAAGGCGACGTGGTTGCTTTGTTTACAAAAGGCAACTGTGCCGAGTGCATCGAATATGAAAATGTTGTTGCCAACATCCAGGACGACATAAAGCAGTCGCTGGGAGCTTCGGTTGTCCAGGCGCACGATAGCAATTTAATACATATCTACGATCCGAGCAGGGAACCGGCTCTTCTGTATTTCCGCCGAGGCATTCCGATACTCTATTATGGCGCGATTAACGAGGATGAAATTCTACAGTTCTTCAGTGATAACCGGGAACCAGGGGTCAAGGAGCTTTCCGATGACAATTTTGAACACTTGACGCAAGCATCTACCGGCGCAACGACTGGAGACTGGTTTGTGTTCTTTTATTCCGCGGAATGTGTGCTCTGCCAGCGTTTGTATGCCATCTGGGAGTCTGTTGGCGGGAAACTAAAACGCAAGATAAATGTGGCGCGAATGAATTCTTTGGGCGCCGGAGTTTCTACAGCGAAACGACTGAAGATTGAGGAAGCTCCCGAATTTATTTTCCTGCGTCATGGCAAAATCTATCGGTATTCGTCAAAGGAATATACTCCTAAGGCCTTCATCGAGTTTGCAGAGGCCGGATATTTAAAAAATACGCATCCCGAAAATGTACCGCAACCATCCAGTTTATTGGATGAATTGTCTATTGGACGCGTTTTCGATTACCTAAACAGTTATGGTACTCTTCCATTAGCATTTATGGGTGCACTCATAGTTTTGTTTCTTCTATTTATTGTTAAATATTTGTTTAAAGCACCGGCAAAGAAAACCACCACAAAAAAAGATAAATAAGTTAAGCGGCCTAGTGTAGTTAAGTTTATATTCGACAGATTTCATTCCATGTACAGCAGCTTTTGTGTATGTAATAAAAAAAAAAAACAAAAATACGACACTAATAAATATGCTGATCATGGCCTGTAATCGCGCAGCACTGACAGACACTTGCGTTGCCAATTACTTGAGAAGCGTTGCTGCAAATCTATCGATATATCGATGCAGCTGCTTGGCAGGTTTGGGTATTTTAGTCTTTGCTTCAAACGGTCACACTAAGCGTAATTGATTTGTGCAGAAAAGTTTACAATGGTCGGCTCCAATTTTGGCATCATCTATCACCCGAGTGCTGGCGGTGGCTCTTCGGGGCAAGTCAACACGGGAAGCGGCACAACCTCCGGAGTTGGCGGTGGCAACAGTTTCAATGCTATCGCTAGCACTGACCGCACTGCGCCAGCATCGCATCTAAGCGATTTCATGTTGCAACTGGAAGATTACACGCCTCTACTTCCAGATGCCGGTAACTGTTGCTAAACATATATTTTAAACTGCCTAAACGCATTAAACTTGCAGTTACTTCACATTATCTGAATATGGGCGGCTTTCATGCGGATGACAAGCGTATTGTGCGCCTAATCTCAATTGCAACGCAGAAATTCATGTCCGACATCATTGACGATGCACTGCAGCATTCAAAGGCGCGCACCCACATGCAAAACTCCAGCACACCCGGCGGCTCCAAGGTTGAACTCTGAATTCTATATAAAAGTAGCTTTCTTCACATACTTTTCCATTGCAGGCCAAGGATCGCAAATTTACGCTGACTATGGATGATCTGCAGCCTGCATTAGCCGACTATGGCATCAATGTACGCAAAATGGACTATAGCCAGTAAAACTAGGCAAATGCATATTAAGTTATTTCGTTAAGTTAAACCCATTAAAATGTCGAACTTCCGTTTGCTCAATGACTTGAAGATGTGACGTCACAACAGTTTTCATACGTTACAGTTGGAAGACATTGTGCATAGGCTCCAAAATAAATTTTGACAAAATAGTCGTTTTAATGTCACATTTCTTAAAATAATTAAAGTTAGGATAATGTCTTTTAGCTGAAATTCATTAAATTCTAATACTTTCTATCGACACATTATAAACCTCTTAAAACTCTTGCCACTACCCCCCGCAACTTTGAATGCTAAGACGCCAGTGAGAATTGTTACGATGTAGTTTGGCAGCAGTGTGGCCCAGTAGAGTGCGTCCACATTGAGCAGCGTCAGTAGTGAGACGAAGAGATGTGTGACCACCACGTAGCCAATGTGCAGATAGTTGTTAGTATCGAAAGCATTGAAGAAGATGATGCTCCAGAAGGTGTGCAGCAGGATGATTGAGAGCGCCTGAGCAGCAGACGTCATAAAGAATAGTTCAGTACCGCCTTTTAAGCCCATTGTGCCGGGTCCAGTCTAGAAATTGAAAACAAAGATTAGCAACTATGCTTGGATTAGTTGGTGTGGCACGTACCATATCTGCCAGCACATTAACCAGCGCAAACATGCCCGATATGATGCCAAATCCTAATCCAGAGACATAGGCCAAAATGTGCTTGTTTTCCGTGATGCGCGTATCTTCAGCGATGGCGTGCAGGCCCTGTTCCGTACTGCGAAGAATGCGATAGATGATGTAACGGAAACATTCCTGGAACAGCACCGAGAACACCACACCAAAGGCTAGTACATCCCGCAGTGGCACAACCGCAAACCACAACAGCGACGACAGCAACAGCGAAAGCAGCCAAAAAAAAGCGGCCGCTATAAGTATTATGATGCGCACGGGATCATTGGCAATGGAGAACACAAATAGTGCAAATGGGGGTCCAAATGCAACAAAAGCGCAGCCAAATAACTCGGGCAGCGTCATACTTAATGCCACTTAATAGAAAAACCGCCCACCCTGTTTATTTGTTGTTGTCGGTGACAAGCCGATTACAATACTGTCTTTGGTTGCTCGTGACTCGTGTAATGACGTTATCGATAACGATAACACACTCTTTTGAAAGACTTTCAAAAGCTTATGCATTTTTTAACAACGCTTGCACTATGGTTTATTACTATACATCTAATCAAATATAATTTTTCTGTTCATATATATAATTACATGAAATGTTTTTTACAAGATGAATATGAGGCATAAATTGTATTAAGATTTAGAATTCGCATAGACAACAATACAAGGGCATATTGTTAAAGAGCATTTTACAGTCGGTGCATATTTTTCGTGATAAGCGATGACAAACCTCGATAAGTTGTTCGTGCGTGAGTCGTATAAGGAAAACGATACCGATAACACAATGTTTTCATACGCTCTCCAAATTGCTGTTTATGCGTTTTTTAACAACGCTTGAACTACGTCGCATGAGTGAACAACAATTAGTACTATTTGTATGGTCATGTTTAGTTGGCAAATGCCTTTATACAAAAACAATATTAGGTTAAAAATAAATTCAGCTTTTAACAATGCACGCGCTATGCTTCGGCAGTATTTGTTCTTAGAGAGCATTCGAAAGTCGGTGAATTATATGTTTGTATTGAAGACAAAGGCGTCCCACTTAGTGTCTCAGTCTGATTGGTCATTGTTTTGGTTTGGGTCTACGGGGATTAGTCACTTTAATATTTGCAAGCGTAATACATTCGCGAGACGCGATAAATAAATTAATAAAAGCGAAAGCTCGATATTACACAGCTGGTAACCCACCCATTTACTCTTTTGCTCCCATTCGCAAGTGAGTAGTCGGCATGCATAACTCAAGTTCAGCATAATTAAAATTCTAACTTTCTAGTGCATGCTGTGATGGCAAAACGTCTACTGCCCCACGATCCATCGACGGATGGTCCGGATCCAGACGATGACCCTGAGAGTCCTGCCATTGAGGCGGCCGCATTGGCTATACCAGATCAGACTGCAGACCAGGCGCTCCAGAAAGGTGCGTATACTAGATACCAAAAGCAGGTCAAGTTTCTTTACTTCATATTTTATGTGTGCAACAGCTTTCTGGGAGAGTTTTAATCCAGCTAAAAGATTTCGACCTACTGCCGATGGTAGCACAGAGTTGCGCTTTGAGATTCTGCGGGCACACATAATGCCACGTGAGATTGAGGATGCTAAAATCAAACGCTTTATTGCTTACGAGCTAACTGTGCGCCAGGACTCCAGCATAATGGACGAACAGCCTGCCAAGATTGAACGCCGCTACACAGACTTTCGAGAGCTTTATCAGTGCCTGAAGCGCCAGCATCCCAACGAACTGAGCAATATCAACTTTCCCAGCAAAGTGCTTGTGGGCAACTTCTCGGCCGAGCTGATCGCCGAGCGTAGCGCCGCTTTCTCAACGTTCCTCACGCACGTTGCTAGCCAGCCCAAGCTGCGAGATTTGGATGCATTTCTGCACTTTCTACAGCACGAGGAGCTGACCAAGGCGTGCCAGTATTTGGACGAGCGCCGCAACGAGATGGCCATTCCCATACTCGAAAACTGTTTTCGTCTGCTGAACAAAATCTACATGAATCGCTCCCGACCCGTCCTGTTAATACTCTGCCGTCTGGTGGCTGCCTGCACCGCTTCGCCGGTGCCCCATCACTCAGCGGAGCATTGGGCTCTCTTGGCGCTCAGTCGCTTCGATACGCTTTGTGATATTGATCTGTTGCCGCTTTATATACCGCTGTTGCACGCCTGTGCGCATTTGTGGCAAGTATAGGGGTTCTCAACTTACCAGCTGAAGGCTTATTGTTATTCTTGTTGCAGGTGGCAGCGCGGGCAGGATCAAAAGCCCATTACGGATCGCTTAACGGAAATGTCCAGGCAGGGCATTAACACAGCCAATATCACCAGCCTTATGCAGGCCATTCACAAGCTCGATCCACGTACTGAAACCATATGAATCACAGTCCGTATGCATCTCATACATATATATAAACACATACTCACACTCATAGAGCCGTAGTGCTAAGCAAAAAGTGCAATTAGTAAATTTATCGTGCAATTAGTATTAATGTATGTCATATTTATGTAACATGTACTTCGTCACGAGTTTTGTAGCGTCCCTTTATATGTTGATTTTCATAGAAATTTCGTAAGTTGTGTTGCTTATTTATATACCCTTACCGTGATTGTAACTATATCGAAAGCCTATTGATCGCAAATTAAATTATTCAAATCAATCATTCCGTTCAGTATTTCACCAATCTATTATCAAAATTAAGAACTAAATTTGAACTAAGAACTAAATTTAAAAATGTATCATAGAAAATACATATATACCGATTCAAGTTATTTTTCTTCTCATTCATTGAATATGTGCGTCACGTTTTACAGGAAATGAAAATTACGCCAATCGTTGGCAGTGCTGCCAATTTAAAAAAGCTATTTAGCTAAATTTAGAGGTAAATAAAGCTAAAACAATGCTGCCAGTATTTTTTAAGTCAAATACCTAAATGTTGAGGTAAGTTATATTAAAGCAAAAACGTTTTTGTTGAGCCTGCCCGACTGAGAGATACCGTGGACTCGCACATTTTATATTTATACATATGATCACGCCGCAATCTAAGGGCAATTAACTAAAAATAAAAAATTTCGAGCTTATTATCGGATCTATATACATATCAAAGTAAAGCAGTTCCTGTGAAAATAAGTTTATACAAGCAGATTTAACTGGACCGACTCATCTCTTCGCCCCGTTTAATAATGTAGTTTATTTCGTCGCAAATAGTTTAAATGTTTCTCATACGCATAAGAAAAATTCAAAATATGTTTTTAATAAGGCTGGAATTCCCGTTGCCTGCATTTTTACAATTTACGAACAAAGAGGCTGAGTTGACATTAGTGAGCGCTGCGGTCATTAAACATTTTTAGCATATATTTTAGGTCAATTTTTTAAAATTAAAATCTAAGGTGCACTTAAATAAATCAACTTATTGTACGTTCCGTGTGGATCTTTTGAACCCGCACGCAGCATAATAACGCTAACCAACTAAAGTTAAATGTATAAATACGATCGCATGCATCTAACAAGTTGGCAAGTCTTGTATCCAGCGTTTGCTCAACATTGCGTATACATAATTTCAAATGTACAGTTCATCATAAATAATTTTTAGGATCCGGTGTATTTTGGTGGTGATGCGGCGGTGGTTTTAGCGGAAGAGCCGCGTAAATGTTTTCAGGGCCTGTGCAACGGCTTTTGTGGTGTCCGCTCTGAAATATGAGAGTATTAGAAAACAAGATTAAAGCACATTATCTATGAATTTGGATTTGGAAAGACTTACCTCAGCACCGTGTTGCTAAACTCATCCAACTGCTGTTGTGTGGCAGTTACATAGCCGCCGCTGTTCTTCTTGGGCAACGCTTCCAGCGCATGGGCGAGGAAGGGCTGCATTTGTGCATTCGTGACGGCATTCTTGAGCTCGGTGAGCACCTCGGCGACATCGGCGAGCATGTAGGAGTGCAGCTGAAATACTGAGGCCTGTATTAGATTCATGACTAGCGCGCCGCCATGCTGCGTGGCGAGTTCAATAACCAGCGGTCGGCACTCGCTATGCCGTTGGTTGCTGCTGCGTCCCCAAGTTAGAAGATTGACGAAGAACTTCATGACCGAGGAGTTGGCCTCGCGATGGTCTAGCGAGCAGGCAATGAGCGCGCACTGAAAGATGGGCGTGATGAGGCTGCTCTGCAACAGCTGCAGCGGACAGCAGTCCAGGTAGCGTGAGGCCAGGCGGAAAAAATCATCAACAGTGTCGGGATTGTTGCGCAAGCCGTTCTCCAGCTGCAGCAGGCCAAAGGTCGGTTCGATAAAGGCCTGCAGCATTTCCAGCAGTCCGGTAATGCATTCGTTCGACTTGGCAAACTCATCGACCAGTATCGAGCCCACGTACAGAAAGCAGCTGTGATGCTGCAGCGCATAGAGCACAACGATTTGCTTGATCAGCGGCTCCACCAGCAGCAGCGCCTGCTTGCGCACCATGCGCACAGCATAGCGTATAAGTCGGCAGGTTCGCTCCATTATGCGCAGATCGCTTTGGTACTTTTCCAGCACACGCGAGATGAGTGGCCAGGCATCATTTAATATTGCAACTGTTGGATGTTCCACGTTGTCGGGCACATCGGGATTCGTGTGGCGTATAATAGCACAGGCGCGATCTATCCAGTAAACGGGATCACTGCGCTCACCCTTCTCCAATGGACAGTGGCTACTTTCCAGTAGCTGTGCCAGCGGCTGCAACTGAAAGCCCACAATCTCGCGGAGCGCCGGCTGCAGCTGCTCACGCGGCAGCTTCGTCAATATGAGGGATATGCCCTTCAGCAGCCCAATGGCCACATCGTTGTTGATCTGAAAGCTATCCAAACTGCGCGCGATTTCCACCAGGCCGCTTATGTGACAAATCATCTTCTGTCTGCACGCCGCGCAAATGGAGGTGAGCGCAATAGCAGCCGCTGGTGCCAAGCCGTTCTTCTGCTGCAGCGCATACAGCAAAAAGTTGAGCACCGCCTCCAGCAGATCCGAGTGGTTCTCAATCCAGTCGCACAGCTCACCTATCAGCATTATCGATGTGTACCGCACTGCAATATGTGTCTGATCCGTCATGTTGAGTATCGCCTCCACCACCTTGGGTATCACATCATTCTCCTCGCTGCAAAAGTATTTGAAGGGATTAGTTTTTGAATATGAAAAAGATAAAGAAAAACAAAGAAACACGCGTTTAGAATAGGTTTTTGGGAACTTCCACTAGCAAGTGTGTGGAAAAGTCGCGGGTTGTATGTGACTAATGTATTAAGAAATTTTAAACATGTACGCAGGAAAAAGCCAGCTTTTAATATTAACTCTGATGTACGTACGGCAATATATTCTTGGCAACATTTTGCATAACAAAGAGCGCTGCTTCGGTGGATTCCCACGTTGTGTTTGGCTCTTGCAGTATAATAAACATTTGCTTAAAGCACGCTCCGGAGCCAACAATAAAGGCCACATCCTTTAACAAATCCGAGACCTTTCGTCGAAAATCCTATAAATAGAAAAACATTAGTAAACTGCGAGTACAAAGTTAAAGGCAAATCGAATCCGTTACTGATTCCAAGATTGCCCAGCATCATATCTCTACTTTTTTCTTACATAGAAATTGTTATTCTCCTCGATGAGTCCATCATGGTCGCTTTCCATCTGCGCATGCCGATATAGAGCGCTAATGAGACGCTCAACGTGAGGCCGGAAGCGGGCTGTCAGCTTTTCGTCGTATCGCTGGAACAGATCCTCGCTGAGCTTGTACCACAAATGAAACGTGATCTCGGCCACCTCGTAGTCGAAATGACCCACACAGAGCAGCACCAAGTCTAATCCCTTCAACGCGTGCTGCGACTCGAACATATCCAGGGAGAAAGCATCGCACAGAGTCGTAAAGATGCGGCAATAATTAATCGTTTTGTCGGTGTCCTCGTGTGCCACGCTCAAGTGATACGCAGTCTCCAGCTGGCAGACGGCCTCAAAGATGCGGGCCACCTGTGGATCGGCATCCACGCTGCCGCTACGTGTGCCCATGCAGCTGAGCAGCGCACAGACGCATTCGGTCGCATTGTCATGCAATTTGCCAGATGTCTCCACCGGCTGACTGAGCAGCCGGAAGGCGAGCTGGGAGAGTGCATTGTCGCAGATGTGGGAGAGCGGGAACGCGTGTATGACCAGCCAAGCGCTGTATGTGCGCAGGGTCGCATTCCAAATGCGCTGCTGGTCCAGATCCTCGCGCTGCGCACACACGCACAAAAATTCCAGTACACACTCGGCGCTGGCGTCCAGCTGCTTGTGCACCTGCTCCCGCCGATTCGCGCCCAGTCGCAAATAACGCGAGTCAATCTCCTCGGGCAACACCTTGAGCACCTCCAGCAATGGCCAAATGGCCGATGGATGCGGCGAGAGCGCCTTTAACAAATCACTAATCGGCTCCTGCCACGTGGCCATCAGGAGCGCGAGATCGGCCACCGCCAGGCTTAGCTGCGTCACAATCACACTGTCCGTCTGCTCGTCGATTTGACCAATGTGGGTTATCAGCGAGTCCCGCAGAGATTCGTGTGTGTGCGGTGGAAGCTCGCTGAACGAGTTTTGTATTTTGTTACGCATCGTCTGGGCGGCGAAGTAATTGGCGTGTAAGTCTCGTTTCTGGTGGAGCAGCTCGTCGGCTATGGTCCACGAGTATATCTGAGGCAACAAGTGCAAACATTTAGCATAATATGCCTCATTTTGACTGAAAACTCCTGCCAAACCCAAGTAGGCCACAACTTACCGACTTTTGAAACTCCTGCAGCCATTTGTTGGCCTTCTCCTGCTCCTTGGGATTGGTGCCTTGGAATAGTGCACTGATCGCTTGATATACAATATCCACCGAATATGTGTCCATTGCGCCGGCTTGCAGGTAGATGTAATCAAAGCATTTAATTAATATTACAGAAGATAATGTTGCTGTTGAAAGAATTTGTGGTGGCTCGTCGATAAATGTCAGCAATCGGCTGATAACTTTTTTCGCCAGAGCTGTATTTTTGTATACTGGAATGACACTTTCATTTTTTGCTTGATGTCAAATATATCATATATGTTTATATGACAAGCAAGGCAAGCGTATATGCCTCATTATTAGGTATTGTTAATTTTCAAGGTTCAACACTGCGTTCCCATTTCATGTAGCAATTTAAAATGAGAAAAAAGTTTTGTTAATTTAGCAATGAATGCAATCTGAATTTCATGTTCACCTAAACAAATTTACTTACCAATCAATGAGTCTTTTTGCAGCATCTGCCTATCAGAGTTACTAATCGCTATGATGCATGACTTGCTCATCTCTACGATAGTTTTGTTATCGAATTGTAATTCGTATATCGCATATCGCCATAGCAGGTTGTCAGCAAAATTTGCAATGGATAAGGATTCGGATTCCACGGTCACTTCTATAGACGAAAACACTGAAAACTTCTGCAGCAATCCCACACGCGATATTCTGGCCGAAGGCATCACGAACCTATTCAAGCCCACCATCGAGAAGCTTGACGAGCGCGTAGCATCAACGATACAACTGCAGTCGGAGCTGCGTGGACAGTTGGATGCACTGGCCGCTCAGTTGCGAGACATCGAGAAGGCGCAGAATCAAATACCCGAGTTTTCGGAGAAGGTTAAAGAGCTGCTGAACGTCAAGCACAAGGTGACCATCATCAACAACGTGCTGAGCAGCAGCCAGGAGCGCTTGATTGGCCTGCACAAGCTAATCGAAAAGGAGCAGCGCCGGCGGCAGGCGCTGCTGGACTCGGCGCTAAGCACCAACATATCATAGACACAATGGAGACACCGCACACCGAGCATCTCCTCTCGGCCGATTACGAGCACGTCTACGAGCCGGCGGAGGATTCTTTTTTGTTGCTTGACGCTCTGGAGTCGGATCTTAAGTTCCTGGACAAGCTGCAGCCACGTCTATGCGTTGAGATTGGCTCTGGCAGCGGCATAATCATCACAGCGCTGGCCAAACGCTTCGCCCACACCTCAGTCTGCCTGGCCACGGACATCAATCCACGCGCCTGCGATGCCACGAAACGCACGGCGGACCGCAACGGCGCCCGCTTGGACAGCGTACGCTGTAATTTGGCGGCTGCACTGCGTCGGCGCTGCGTGGACTTGCTGCTCTTTAATCCGCCATATGTGGTAACCAGCGATGAGGAGCTGCACTGCCAAACACTGACGTCCGACCAGGCGGGGGATCCCGCAACGCAGCGCAATCTTGTCTATTCGTGGGCAGGGGGCAGAAATGGGCGGCGAGTGACCGACATTTTACTGGAGCAATTAGATGACATACTCTCGCCCAGCGGCGTTCTCTATTTGCTGCTGCTGCGCGAGAACAAACCAGACGAAATAATGAAGCAATTAGCTAGTCTAAAGTTTAAGGCTGTCAAATACATGGAACGACGCATTCCCGGCGAATATCTGTATATACTTAAAGTGACCCGAAACCCAGATTGAGTTGCTTGTCTATTAAAGTGCAATCCCTATGATACATATATATGTTGTAATTTGCCCTAGTTTCGGATAAATGGAAGGCTGTTATTAAAATAGTTGTCGCTGGTTTGTGTCCTCGCTAAACGGCTTACCGATAGACATTTTAATCGATACGGCGATAGGCATTTGAATCGATACAACTTAAGCGCGAAGAGATCGGTTAAATTTGAACATATTGCAGGACAAGGACCTATTTCTGTTTATATGGTATGTATATAGAATTTAATTTCATTTTGGTTATGGATTTAATTAGAAACAAGCACTTTTTAATTGAAAATACAAAATAGCGTGTAAATTTCCAGCTGCACGCCAAAGCGTTGCAAATCACTTTTTGGGCAGTGGGAAAAAAACACAAACGGGATATAACTACCCTACCGCATATATGCAACCCCAAAGTCGGGCAAACTAAAACAACCGATAGGATTACAGCACCAATCAATGAATTATGTACCTCTACACTGTACATACACATATGTGCGATACATATTCGAATAACTACCCCTACTCGGTTATCTGCATAATACACCCTCCGACGAAACTTCATTCTCTTTGGCTGGTTGAAAGGGGGAGGGGCGGGTAGGAGTAGAGGTTGTGTGCTGCCCCGCCCAATTGAAACAATCGTTTTATTGGCATCTAATAACTGCCAATTGTGTTGTTGTTCTTGTTGCTTCGTCACATTTGATTTTGTAATTACAATAATTTATTTTCTCTTTTCGCATTCGTTACTTTTTTAAATGTTTTCTTTTTTCATTTGTGGGTCTTATTTTCATTCTTTCACTACAACTGGTTACGATTGAATTTTACTTTTTGTTCATCATTTGATTGCTTTTCTTTTTATTTACAAAAATCTTTGTGTATTAATTCAACATTGCTTCGGTATCAAATTGTTTACGGCATATACATATATGTACTATATAAGTTATTGACCTGGCATGCATCAACTGAAAGCCTTTAAATGCTTATTAATATTGTATTTGCTGCTCTTGTATATATATATATATATATATGTGTGTGTGGGTCGGTTAATTGGTTAAAATTAGGGCCAAGTTGGGGTGGTTAAACGTTTTGCAAAATTTGAAAAAATTAATTGGATTTGATTGATGGGTCTGTCTCTCTGTGCATGCTCATTTTCAGCATTTTCTTTTGTTTTTCATTTCAAATATCAGTCATTATAATTAAGAAATTGTTTCGAGTATTGTTAGTTGTTTGTATGTAGCTTGGCGCCATATGCTATATGATATATGCCGCTTGCATAGCCCGACTACTTAATAAGTATGTTTTGTATAAATAACATTAAAAGTTGACTTGTTCTTGTTGTTGCCTCAATGCATTCATATATATTCATCATTTCTTTCGTTTCGTTTTTGTTTTTACAATTTACAAATGAATTAACTTTATCAGTTATTGATTTGCCTTTGCACATTATACAACAGAATGTTTTCGATATTGCTCTACAAACTAAAAATTTGCCTGCTTGTCGTGTGTTTTATTTGTTTGTTTTTAATACTGACATAATGTATACTTAAGAGTAGTCATAGTAGTTAATAGGTAAATGCTGAAATAAAAGAAGCCGGCCCGCTGAGCCCACTAAATAATCGTTCGCTCAGTGTAGTCGACGTCAAAGTGGATGTTGAAATCAAACTTCCCGTTGCGCCCCCGCGAAGCCGACAAACCCGGTTCCGGCTTCGGCTCCGGCTCGGTGTGTGGCCACAGTGGGCGCGAAAATTTTTGAAACCATATGTAAAACTTGAGTGTTGTTTTGTATATTTTTTTTTTAATTGCATTTGCTTTTTCGATCATTCATAAAATGTAACGTCTAATTTTAATAATGAATTTTATTACTTGTGTTTGTATGTGTGTGTGTGTGTTTTTTTTTCTTTCTTTTTTTAATTATTATTATTAATTAAATCATGGGGCTCCGCTTAAGGTTCTTCATCTGCTTCTGCTTGTTCTTCATGCTATGTATCTGTCATTTAAACTTAAGACTTATCGACTTAAAGGAAAGAAAGAGCATGGTCTGTTTGTGTATATAGTTTTGGGGGGATGTTTACTTTTTTCGGTTTTTGTGTTCTCGCCCTATGCGAAAATTGCTTTGTTTTTTTTTTGTATTTTTTTATAAAAAAAGTACACATAAAATACAATTAAAATAAAATAAGAAATAGAAAATTATTTCTTAAACATAAGAATTATATACTTTTGCGATTTTTTTGTGTGGTTTTCTCTGGTTTTGTTTTTTGCTTGTAACTTTTTATTTATTATTAATTTAAATTTTTGTTTGTTTTGTTTGTAATTTTTTTTTAGCTTTTGTTTTTTTTTTATGTTTTGACTACATTATTATTACGCTTGATCGTCCGAGCCGGAACCGTCATCATTGTCATCGTCATCATCTGTTTAAGAAAGATTTGTCTTAGTTTCGGGTTGCCTTTTTGGGAATTCTGGGCATTGAACTTACCGTCACATTCAATATCATCCTCCTCACCATCGTAGGGTACATCGTATTCGTCGCTTTCAATTTCACTGTCACCCTCGATGAGATCATCTAATACCTCCTCCTCATCGGAATCACCATCAGCGGGTTTATCTTTCTTGGCTTTCTTTGATTCGGCGGATTTAGCCTGCAAACACAAATAAAAGAAAGACGCCAAATGAGGAAAGGATATTGATAATGAAGGCTTCTGTTCCTGTTAGTGGAACCTTTTGAGCGCCCAAGTGAAACCCCACACTTCTCCTTGATCAAGGGCAAAGCGAATTGTTCATGGAAAGAAAACATAAGCCCAACATACGCATTTTTCTCCACATAGCTACAGCATGTTTATGGGTGTGTATGTTTGTGTACGTCTATATGAACATAAAATGTATATTTAAAGCCCACAAAACAACAAAAATCGCCCTTTACTGGGGAGCAGCAGCAAAGAAAAATCGTTATTTTCGCCGTAAAAAAGGCATTTGAAAAATGCGCGCGTCAATGGAATTCGCTGCAGCAACACGCACCAATGAAGGGAGAGAGCGAGAGAGCAAAAGCGAAGATTGCCGCATTACAAGTGCACCTCTCACTTACATACTAAAAACAATACATAAGGCGGCATATTTACTACATAATGGAAAAACAACAATCGAGAGGGCATATGTATCCGCATCCGTGAGACACAAAACCAGCTAAGCCAAGCGTGCGTTCGACCCACTGTGACCGAAAGCCGAGCGAATGAACCAAACCCGAAGCAAACCGATCCGAACAATAGGCAGCGACGCTAGCGTCGCAGCTGCTGCTACATGATGGCGTAAGTATGTGTGTGCGTTTGAGGAGCTATAAAAGAGAGCGAGAGCACAGCGCTGTCGCTGTCAAAGCAGAACTGTACCTGAGAACGCGCGCGTCGTGACAATGGCTGCATGAATGAAGACTCACACACACACACATACGACAGCTGCCGCAGAAAAAGGCGCAAACGGTTGACCGCCGACGACGCTAGCGGCGCTGCCCTGGCGTGCGTTCATGTGCTGCTGCTGCGTGGGTTCAAAACTCAGTTAACCAACCAACAACAAGGCAAGTATATAAGGCGGTCACGTTCTCATGTAAAAGAAAGCTTGTAATACATATGCATGTATGTCTGCGCACGTGTGTATATGTACGAAGGCATAATTTAACAGCGATTGTTCCAAAGCAGAACACAAGATAACTGTGAAAATGTGTGCAAAATATACGGCGCGCTCTCTCAAGCAAAACAAAAGCCACCAAGAAACTGAAGAAAAATACTTATGCTACCAGACCAGCCATTAAAACAAACATCCCATAAAACAGAGCCATTAATGATAGACGCTGTTTTATTGCACTAATGCGAGCGACGAGTATTTAAAAGAAAGCTCTAGAAACCAGCTGCTAATCACTTGGGAGATATTTGAGAGACTAAATTTAAGAGAATTCGTCAACGATTGCGACCTTAAATATTTTTTTTTTACTAAATATTCTGTTCGGGAAAAGTCCGATAAATAACTTAAATATCCTAATTGAAAATATTCCACACCATTAATATATTTATCTAGGCCCTGTGTCTCTCGCTGCACAACAGTAGGCAACACTATCTAGAATTTCTAATTAAACCGTTACTTCTCCTGCATATTATGAATAGGGAAGTTGCGCCACCCTGTAAATGGATTGTTTTTATGTGCGCCCGCCATGCACACACACAAGTACATAAATGTACCAAAATAAATACACGTAAGGCGAAAAAAAGTGAAAGATAAATGTAAATGGGTATATACACAAACAACACATGTCTGTATACAGAATGTGTACATAAGTATTTACACGAAGAGCGTACTGAGAGGGACCGACGCATAGTAGCAATTCGAGAGAAGGAGAGTAAATGACAGCGTTCTCGCTGAGAGCACGCTCGCTAGTTAAACTGTACATTTTTATTTTGAGTTTGTGACAAATAATTTAATTTGCTAATTTAGAAAATTTAGTCTAATGAGATACCTCGTGCTTTCCCTTTATAAGTATTTTATGTTTATCAAAAATGTGCCTTTTTCGATTATGGCATAAAACAACAAACGAATGGAATGTTGTGGGAGCATAAAAAACTGGTTCTCCCTCCCTCTCTCGTTTATACCAGCTCTCTTCCTCTCTCACTCTATTAATATGGCGGACTGCTGCCGGCCGGCATTGTTTTTAGCTGAGAGCGCAACTTTTTGGCTGGCGCGCAATTTGTTATTGTTATTTGTTACTGCCAAATTTGGAAAATGCAATTTACAAAGGCCAAAGGTGAGTCTTAAGAGAACCGTCAGCAAAGATGTTACAATATCGCATTTGCCCAATTAAAAGTGCTTGATTTCTATTGTCTTCGTGTTTTAAATACACACACACATTTGTACACATAATGCATTGACTGTGTGGGTGTGTGTGTGTGTCTTTGAGTTGCAAGGCCGCATTGCTGCCAAAGCTTTTAAAGTTTATCTCTTTGGGCTTTTTGCGTCTTGCTGCTTTCCTTGTGCAATGCTAATGACCTACGTATGCCGTATTCCAGTATTTATTTGCTTTGTTTTTTTCTTTTCGTTTTTACTAAAATCGCGCTCTCGTTCTCTCTATCTCCTATTATCTCTCTGGCCAACAACTGTACCGCTCCGCTCCGCCAACACAGTTCGACTATTAGACATCCTAACCTCGATTTGAACCGAACAACAAATAATCTTTGATTACCGACTCACAATCATCTTAATTTAATCGTAAATAATAACATGCACACACATACTAAATGCTTTGCATGTAGAATAATAACTATTTATGTATTTGTATACAGATGAGTGTGCGCTCTCTCATGTGTCAGTCTCTCTCTCTTTCTCTTGCGTTTCAGTTAGCGGCTGCTATCGGCAGCTGAACGTTTGAAAGGCGGCTGAAACTGAAAAACGTGTGTATATCTATTTCTAGAACAAAGTTTTTTTCTAGCAGTTTTATTTTTGCCGCCGGATTTTGTAATTTGCTTCGGAGGGTAACAAAATAATTTATGAATCATTTGCGCAAAAAGGCAAAAGTAGCGCGTAAACAAAACTTCAACAACGCGATAATCGATTAGGGCAGCGCGTTCGATAACTCGATCGATAAGTGCATGACGAGTCGTAGAGAGCGGCAGAAGAGAAAGATGACAAGTGCGTTCGTTTGTTTTGTTATTAAACAAGCGCACACATACACTCACGCACGCACACACATTCACAGGGAGGCTTGCGACTGATTAGGGTAAATTGTGTGAAACTGTACGAGTTGAATACGAGTTGAGTATAAGATCCTTTTAGGAGCGAATTTGTTGGTTTTGGGTTTGTTGGATACTTACTTCAGCTTGCCTCTTAGTGCCTTTGGCGGATCCCTTGGTAGGCGCGGCAGCAGCAGCATCCGCCGCATCGGCAGCGTCCTCGCCATCCTTGGCCGTGCCGTTATCGGCAGCGGCCGCATCGCCAGCAGCATCGGCGGCCGCTGATTTGTCCTCGGCAACTGCTTTGGCTTTGGCTTTGAGATCCTCCTTCACATCGCTGTCGCTGACGGCAGCTACCTTCTCGACGGCAACATCACCGTTATTTTGTTGTTCTGTGGCTGCAGACATTTTGTTGTTTTGCTTTTGAACTTGTTTGAAAAACTTGTATATATTTTTGTACAGTTATATAACGAGCATGCGTCGTTATATGTAGGCTTAAATTGTAATGATTAATGCGCGCGTGAATTTCAGTATCCGTTCAAGTGTTGTGTGTATACTATTCCAACGCTTTTTGATTGCTGTGTGTTCAAGATATTTTTTGGTTGTTGACAAAAATTAGCGCAAAATAGATAGATTGTTCCGAAGAGGGAAAAAACGAGAACCGCACCGCACGAAGAACACAAACACACTGTCTGAAATGCTGCTACGTCGTGTGTATTTAACAGATACAACACAAGCACACATACACATGCACACAAGCACACGCTTCCGACTGCGGCAGCTTGCTCTCGTTTTTTCTCTCTGTCTCTCTTTCGTTCGTACTGGCCGCTGTTCGCTCGCTTATCACTCGCTCACGCTCAAGCCGCGCGCTGCTGTCACTGTCCCCTTCTCTTTCTCTCTCTCTTCTACTTGCTCTCTCGTTCTGTCATGTATGCAATACACTGAACAAAAAAGCACGGCGGCATTTGTACAGCAGCAGTTGGCAAAGTAGAGAAGAGAAGGCAACAACAACATTAAGCAGGTAGCGGAGGCGAGAACAAAATAACAAACGCCGCCCCAGCGTCCGTCCGACCCACCAACTACGCCCGCTGACCGACTCTACAAATAATTTTGTAATAATTTTTTGATAGATAAATAAAATATTAATAATATAGCCTTAGTTTCAGCGCGGCAACAAATATACATATGTACAAATTTTTGTATGTGCGTACGCTATTCGGTATATTTGTATGCCTTGGCTGATTATTTTTCAGTATTTTGTATTTTCTTGCTTTCTGACTGACCACCGATATGTGTACCCGTTGACGGCTCGTACAAGACTAAACTTACCATCGCACACGCGGCCGTCTACAGATTGCAAGCAGTGTCTTCTTGTACAGCTTAAGCATCTGGCATTTTTTTTGATTGCTCGTAAACCTTTATTTGGATCTGGTCCAAACTATTGGGAATCGGTAATATAAATAGTCCTCTTTAATTTGGCAACATTAGGCGAGCGCTGCGATCAAGCTGAAATCCAAAAATGACACCTCGAGTGGGTTTCTTGACGAATCCCATACAAAATGCGGTTTCTGGTCGTGAGTGAGTACAGCACAGCCAACGGCGACGTCGACGTCGCCGGCACGTTTGGCGGTAAATTTGAAAATTGCCGGCCGCGGTGGCTGCTTGCCCGTTACAGCTCTTGTTGGCGGTGGTTGTTGTTAGCCGAGGAGTGCTTCTCGACGAGGCGGCAGAGGTTTGGAGCTGGGCACAGGCTGCTAGGGAGGGCCCAAGCGGTAGTTGTACAGGCAGCAGCAGCGGCAGCGGCTGGCCGGGCAACTTTGGCGTTCTGTCGCCGCGTCTGTGGCGTGTATGTGTTCTGCTGTTGGGTTGCATACTCAACGGCAGTGTTTCGCTTATTGTTTGTGCCACAACATATTTATAGAGTGGACCTAAAAACAAGCGAGTAATCAGGTCAATTGGGCGACTGAGAAGATGTCTAATGCCAATCACCAGCATTTTTCTCAACCAACAGAAAATTTCTAAGCATTAGCTGTTTGTTGATGGAATTCTAATGACTTTAACTAACCAAATTATAGATATTACACGGGGCAAACCAGGTTAAAAGATTCATACATTTGTATCTTTGTCATTACAGTGAGCAAGGTTCACCCCATTTTTCGCATTTCGCTTTTTGTCAGCATTATTGTATCTTTGCATTTCTTTCAGTTGATCCCACACATTTGTGGTTCGACAATTTGCTGTCTCTGTTCGTTACACGAACCATGCTGGTTCAGGAACTGACTAATGAGCTAACGTTCTTCTGCTCTATTGTCGCTCTCGCCGCAGCCAGTCTCTCTAGCCGTCAGTTTATATAGTCGTCTATCCCATTACTTATTTGAACTACTGCTGCTGCTAGCTGGCCACAGTCGTTTTTCTGCTATTTTTATGCAAAACAAATAAGTATAGTTTTGTAATCTGAATAATATGAGCGAAAGAGAGAAAGAGAGAGAGAGAGAGAGAGAGAGACCCACAACGACAGCTCGCTAATTAAAACCGATGTTCGCCTCGCCAACGTGGATGACTATGACAGTCGTCTATGGTCGCATCTACCAGTTTGTAGCACTCCACACATTGGCGCGGCTGGCATTGTTGCCAACAACACCTGTAATCGTGGGACAATCATTCAGTTATCATATTTAAACAGCGCAACGGCAACACAGCAGCTACTCGAAAGCAGCGGCAACAGCAACAGCAACAACAACAAGAACTGTGACTTTTGCTTTTGCCTTAACATTTCATTTCTTGATAAGCCGATTTGCGTCTTCGTTTTTGCGCTACGGGTTTTCCATCTTTCTTTCTTTCGACTCTCTTTTAGTGTTGTTTTGAGCGGCGTTGCGTTCGCTCCCCCGGTTAATGAGGGATAAATAATATTTGTTTCGATATGATTTATTCTTCTACATATGTACATACATACATATATTAGCCGAGGCGTCAGTGAGAAAACGAAATATGTTTCGGTCTATGCAGTTCCTTCGAGAACTATCCACACTATGCATATGTATGTATATGCGGACATACATACATATATATCTATATAGACAGCAGACAGATGTACCAGTTACACGGTTACACGTTTTTCAAGTATGACCAATATTATTTCAAGGTTAACCTTGTATACTGTATAATAAAACACCCATGTTTCAGTCCCTGGACTGTTGGTTCAGAGAATTGCGATAAGAAAGGTTTACAATCGTTAACATTCAGGCAACAGCGCCTGCTTTTTCGTAGGGAAAGTTCTAGAGGTAGTCAACCAACTTTTCAGGTAATCGCAGCGTTTTCACTGAACCTGAAGGGAACACATATCATCTTTCGAATATGCTCTAGAGATAGAGTTAGCAAGCGTTGAGATGTAGTATAATCTAATCTCGAAGCCCTAATCATATATTTATTTGATATGCATTGTATTATTGTCAAGTTTTCAAATTCACCGAGTTTTTGTTCAGTGTATTAACACGTTGCCTCTGCTTCCTGTAGCATGCACCAAAAAGGTGTTAATGGAAGTAATCGATTCTTTTACAAACGTTTGTGTGTATATGGACATGTACTTGTTGTATGTACTGCTAATAGATTTATAAGAAGATTGTATAGATTCTATTCAGATTTTTGATGAAGACTTGCTGTGAGTTCCATATAATGGGAATATGTCACGAATCGTTTTGAATAGATGTTTAATTTCTATTCAAAGCGAGCACTCGACGTGTAGATGTAAATAGCTTTTGATGTACATACAAAAAAACGATTTTAGCGTTGGAAAATGAAGGTGAGAAAAGCGTGAAAAACTTGAAAAACACGCGAGGCGTATGAATATACATACACACATACATACATATATAGAAATGCATGCATTTCATTATATAGCTTAGGCTGGTTCGTGTGTGGAATTTACCTAATATTATTGGAATTATCCCATCAAGATTAGATAGTTAACTCTGTTTACTTTCTGACCCCTTCCATTCGCATGGAAACAATTCGGATTTTATTTCATAAATATGTATTTACGTGAAAGAACTGAAATCATTCAGCAAAAAAAAAACAACATGAACTGGTTTGAGAGTACAACTTCACGGACAAGGGCAACGGGGTATTTGTGAGCGTTCGCTGATAAGCGGTTCCATGGACTTACAACCCGAATCGGTAGCTTGAAGAGTATTTGTCGTATTTGGTGTCGGTTCGTTCTAAAGTCGCGTTTCGTCTGGTATATGGTATGTGCGGTTGGTAATGTTTCCCCACACGAGTGCAGCGATTAGCTGAATACCCTACACTCAGCCAGAGAGACTCAGACGAGCATTGCACACGCAAATAAATAATTTAGTTGCTTCTTGTTGACGGTTTTGTTTTCGATATGGAATACATGTCCCAAGTACGTGCTATCATTATTTGTGGGCATTCTGAAGCGAACGCTTTAATTGGCCAGAAAATGTACTGAGAAGTAAGCGTCGCCCCGCACCACCCCGCCCACCAACCTTCGCCCACCACAGTCACTTGATGTATGAGCTGCCGTGGAAATTCTTTACTCTCGGCATCGGGATGGGTCAAACTGCAACGCTTTCGCATAGGCCTCTGCCTGCGGCCCGCCTGGCTTTTGTGTTGGCATCTGCGTCATGCATTTGGGTGCAATGGGAACGCTTGACTGGGTGGATTGACCGGGGCCGGGTGGCGGTTGCCGGGTGGTGGTTGTACGCCAAAGAGTACGACCCAAGAGTGCCAGCCGACTGGTGAGCACCACATGAATGAATCATTTGCAAAGAGCAAAATGTTGGCGTCATTTTATATCCAGTTGTATGTATGCATTTGAGCGCGCGCGTGTGTGTGTGTGTGTTAGTGTGTGCGTCGCTGTGTTGTGGTCGAGAGCACATAAGAAAAACAAATAAATTTACACCAACTGTGCTCAATTGCCTTAGAGCTGCGTTGTCATGTAGCATCCATTCATTTATTCAATACATAATTACACAGACTCATTGAATACACCCGTTGAATAGCTTCGCTGTCAGGAAATTGGCTTCAGATATGCGCTAACTTTTTTTTACTTAAACTAGTTTTCTGTATTTTATTTGATTGGATTAAGGTATCTTTTTTGTGCCTTAAACAGCTGTTTAATATAAATTACTTTAATTCTTCTTTAATATAAATTACTTTAATTCTTGTATTTGCTTAATTAACAAGTCCAATTGTTCATTTTTAATTTCGATTGTTTGAATTCCGCGCCAAGTACTCTGAAGCACACCCATGCGTTGATTTACAACACTTCGCATACACACGTTACTCAACACACTTGCCAGTGCTGCATGCTAGTCTAACTGGAAACGGTATAAATCCAATTGGGACAAATTAGAAACGAGCAAGCGGTCTCTTAGTTTTCAACTCCAGTTAGACTTATGTTATTGTTCATTTGAAAACTTTTCCAGTTTGTTTGCGCTGGGTTTTGGGGGTTGCGGCATTGTTTGGCGCGCATTGGCAACCCTAATCATGCTACCCATTAATGACCTTGCACTGACATTGCCGCACAGCTGTGGGTCAAGTCGCATTCGCACAACCGAAAAGTATCCAGAAGTTTGTTAGATCCAATTTGGCAAGCATCAAAAATGGCCTTCAATAAGCTGAGCATCGAGAACCTCGATCTGGAGGGCAAACGCGTGCTAATGCGGTAGGTTGTGCA